AACCCCAACAGTTGTCGTTTATGTTCAGCAAAGCAATATCATCTATCATAAAACTAATAAAATGAATCATTAAAATAGTTTTAACACTGGTAATACATGAGAAATTTTCTTCTTTAAAGAGAGATCTATATATGACTTAATCTAACCTGAAGAAAATAATGTTTTCTTCAGAGAAAAAGTTCTGTTATTGGGATGATTATATAGTTATTCTTTAAATTAGCACCTGTATAAAAGTATTAGTTTCCTAGGGCAGCTGTAACAAAGTATGACAAACTTGGTGACTTAAAACAATAGAAATTTATCCTCTCAAAGTTCTGCAGGCTGGAAATCTGAAATCAAGGTATCAGCAGGGCCGTGCTCGCTCTCAAGGCTCTAGGGTAGGATCCTTCCTTCATCGTCTCTTCTTAGATTTTAGTGGTTGCTGGAAATCAGTGGCATTCCTCGGCTTGTGGGTGCATTGCTCCAATCCCTGCCTCTGTTGTCACCTGGCATTCTCCCTTGTGTCTTTGTGGGTCTTCCTTTTTTATTTTTAAGTTAATTTTTATTGAGTTTATGGTAGTTTACAATCTTGTGACATTTCAGTTGTACGCTATTGTTTATTAGTCGTGTTGTAGGTGCACCCCTTCACCCTTTGTGCCCATCCCCACCCCTCTTTCCCCTGGTAACCACTAATCTGTTCTCTTTGTCCACATGTTTAAATTCCTCCATGATGTCCACATGTTTAAATATGAGCGGAGTCATACAGAGATTGTCCTTCTCTATCTGGCTTATTTCACTTAACGTAATTCCCTCAAGTTCCATCCATGTTGTTGTGAATGGGATCATTTTATCCTTTTTTATGGCTAAATAGTATTCCATTGTATATATATACCATATCTTCTTCATCCAATCATCAGTTGATGGGCACTTAGTTTGCTTCCACGTCTGGGCTATTGTAACTAATGCTGCAATGAACATAGGGGTGCATGGGACTTTTGGAGTTGCTGACTTCAAGCTCTTTGGATAGACACCCAGTAGTGGGATGGCTGGGTCATATGGTATTTCTATTTTTAATTTTTTGAGGAATCTCCATACTGTTTTCCACAGTGACTGCACCAGTTTGCATTCCCACCAGCAGTGTATGAGGGATCCTTTTTCTCCACAACCTCTCCAACATTTGTTACTTTATGTTTTGGTTATTTTTGCCATTCTAATGGGTGTAAGGTGATAGTGTAGTTTTGATTTGCATTTCCCTGATGATCAGTGATCATGAACATCTTTTCATGTGCCTATTGGCCATCCATTTATCTTCTTTGGAGAATTGTCTGTTCATGTCTTCTGTCCATTTTTTGATTGGGTTGTTTGATTTTTTTTGTTGTTGAGTTGTGTGAGTTCTTTATATATTATGGATATTAACCCTTTGTCAGATATATGACTTGCAAATATTTTTTCCTAATTAGTGGGTTGTTTTTTCGTTTCAATCCTATTTTCCCTTGCCTTGAAGAAGCTCTTTAGTCTGATGAAGTCCCTTTTGTTTATTCTTTCTATTGTTTCCCTTGTCCAAGAAGACATGGTGTCTGAAAAGATCAGTTTAATACTGATGTCAAAGAGTGTACTGCCTACATTTTCTTCTAGAAACCCTAGTGTTTCAGGTCTTGCCTTTAGGTCTTTGATCCATTTAGAGTTTACTTTTGTAAATGTGAAAAAGAATGGTCAATTTTCATTCTTTTACATGTGGCTTTTCAGTTTTCCCAGCACCACTTGTTGAAGAGACTTTCTTTTCTCCATTGTATGCCCTCAGCTCCTTTGTTGAAGATTAGCTGTCCATAGATGTGTGGTTTTATTTCTGGGCTTTCAGTTCTGTGCCATTGATCTGTGCACCTGTTTTTGTACCAGTACCATGCTGTTTTGATTATTGTAGCTTTGTAGTATGTTTTGAAGTCAGGGATTGTGATGCCTCCAGCTTTGTTCTTTTTTCTCAGGATTGCTTTAGCAATTCAGGGTCTTTTGTTGCCCCATATGAATTTTAGGATTCTTTGTTCTAATTCTGTAAAGAATGTCATTGGGATTCTGATTGGGATTGCGTTGAATCTGTAGATTGCTTTAGGTAGAATGGACATTTTAACTATGTTTATTCTTCCAAGCCATGTACATGGAATGTCTTTCCATCTCTTTATGTCGTCATTCATTTCTTTCAGGAAAGCCTTGTAGTTTTCATTGTATAGGTCTTTCACTTCCTTAGTTAAATTCACCCCAAGGTATTTTATTCTTTTTGTTGCGATTGTGAATGATATTGTGTTCTTGAGTTCTTTTTCTGTTAGTTCGTGATTAGAGTATAGAAATGCTACTGATTTATGTAAGTTGATTTTATATCCTGCAACTTTGCTGTAGTTGTTGATTATTTCTAAAAGTTTTTCAATGGATTCTTTGGGGTTTTCTATATATAAGATCACGTCATCTGCGAACAGCGAGAGTTTCACTTCTTCCCTCCCTATTTGGATTCCTTTTATTCCTTTCTCTTGTCTAATTGCTCTGGCCAAAACCTCCAGTACTGTGTTGAATAAGAGTGGTGATAGAGGGCATCCTTGTCTTTTTCCTGTTTTCAGGGGGATGGTGCTCAGTTTTTGCCCATTGAGTATGATGTTGGCTGTGGGTTTGTCATATATGGCCTTTATTATGTTGAGGTAATTTCCTTCTATCCCCATTTTGCTCAGAGTTTTTATCATAAATTGCTGTTGGATCTTGTCAAATGCTTTCTCTGCATCTATTGAGATGATCATGTGGTTTTTATTCCTCACTTTGTTGATGTGGTGTATCATGTTGATTGATTTGTGGATGTTGAACCATCCCTGTGTCCCTGGTATCAATCCCACTTGATCATGATGTATGATCCTTTTGATGTATTGCTGAATTCAGGTTGCCAAAGTTTTGTTGAGAATTTTTGCATCTATGTTCATCAGCAATATTGGCCTGTAGTTCTCCTTTTTTGTGCTGTCCTTGTCAGGCTTTGGTATCAGTGTGATGTTGGCCTCGTAGAATGTGTTAGGAAGTGTTCCATCCTCCCTAAGTTTTTGGAATAGCTTGGAAAGCATAAGTATTAAATCCTCTTTGAAAGTTTGGTAGAATTCCCCAGGAAAGCTGTCTGGTCCTGGGGTTTTATTCTTTGGGATGCTTTTGATTGCTGTTTCAATCTCCTTCCTTGTAATTGGTCTGTTCAGATTGTCTGCTTCTTCTTGACTTAGCTTTGGGAGGTTGTAAGAGTCTAAGAATTTATCTATTTCCTCTAGGTTATCCATTTTGTTGGCATATAATTTTTCATAGTATTCTCTTATAATCCATTGTATTTCTGTGGAGTCTGTTGTTATTTCTCCTCTTTCATTTCTGATTTTGTTTATTTAAGCTTTCTCTCTCTTTTTTTTTGCCAGTTTTACTACTATATGCCTTGCAGTAAGTCTTTTTACATTGCCATATCTAGGAGACCTGAAAGCTTCCTCCACACACATTTCTCTCTCATTCCCTAGATTTGGGAAGTTCTCTGTTATTGTTTCTTTGAGCATGCTTTCTGCTCCATTCTCCTTTTCTTTGCCCTTGAGGATACCTATAATTCTTACATTGCATTTCCTCATTGAATTGGCTATTTCTTGGAGATTTTCTTCATTTCTTTTTAGTCTTAGTTCTCTCTCTTCCTCTGTCTGGAGCCATTCAACCTGTCTATCTTCGATTATGCTGATTTGCTCCTCTATGGCATCCACATGGGCATTCAGGAAATCTGTATTCTGTTTTATTTCTTCCATTGTATTTTTCATCTCTACTATTTCTAATTGATTCTTCTTTATAGTTTCAATCTCTTTTGTGAAGTAACTCCAGAATTCATTGAACTGTTTCTCTATATTTTCCTTTACCTCACTGAGTTTTTTGATGATAGCTATTCTGAATTCACAGGTGTTTAGTTTACTTATTTCTGAGTCCTCAGGACATAAGTATGCATGCTTGTTTTCCCTCTGGTCTGGAGATTTGATGAGCTGCTGGATGTTGGATGATGGACGGGTCTTCTCCATTGTGATATTATTCTGTTTTAGTTACAGCCTGTCACCACTAGATGGGGGACAAGAGCCATGTACTCTGAGCCCTCCGCCTTCAGCCAAGATGACGTAGCACAGCCTGGGTTGCTGGAGGGGTGGGGGGCACTTGCTCTTGCGTACAGACCCAGGTTTCCCAATCAGTTCTTGCTATCTGCTCTCCTGGGGTCTTGGCTTAATGAGGTCACCCCATGTGAAAGCTTTCACCCAGTTAGAGGGCTTCTGACTGGGCTGCAAGGGCCTTGGGGAGTCCTGGGTGATCCTGCTGATGTGCATCCCCTCCCCTACTCCTTCCCTCACAGAGCCTCCTGCTGCAGCCGTCCCAGTCTTTAGGGGAGGGAGCGAAGTTCTCTCTTACCCTGTTCCAGCTCCTCCGAGGTGGGATCCAGGCTCTCCACCCTCTGTTGTTTGGCTGCTGTGGGTCTCTGAGGATTCCTGTGCTATTAAGATAATTTTTGTTGGAATATGGTTGCTCCTTTTTGTTGTATGTTGGAGGGGAGAGAGTCCCTGGCAAGCTCACTCTGCCATAACGCTGATGTCACTCCTGGGTCTTCTTTTCTTATAAAGACACTGGTCATATTGGATTAAGGGGCTGCTGTCTCCTCCAGTATGACATGAAGTTTAACTTAACTAATTATATCTGCAACAGTCTTGTTTCCAAATAAAGTCACATTACGAGGTGCTAAGAAGGACATGAATATTTGGAGGACACTATTCAACTCAGGCAACCCCTATAGTTTAGTAGTACCAGTACCACATGGTAGACCATTTCTGAAATAATTCTCAATGCTCCCACCTCCTGCTCTTCATCCCTTGTGTAATCCCCTCCTCTTTGTGTGAACTGGATCTAGTGGCTTTCTTCTAATAAACAGAATAGGCAAAAGAGATGGGATGTCACTGAGATTAGCTTGTAAATGTCTATGATTTCTGTCTTTCTTGCAGACTCTCTCTTTGGCTCTTCTCACTTGTTTGCTCTGATGAAGCAAGCTGGCATGTTGTGAACTATCTTATGGAGGTGCCAGCATGATAAAGAACTGAGGACGGCATCAGGCCAACAGTAAGTGAGAAACTGAGGCCCTTAATCCAACAGCTGGAGAGGAACTGAAATCTCTCAGCAGCCACTGAAGCTTAGAGACAGTTCCTCCACCAGTCCTGTTTTAAGATGACTGCAGACCCAGCTGACAGCTTGATTGCAGCCTTCCAAGATGATCCTCGTGAGAGATCCAGGGCTGGAGGATCCAGCTAAGCTGTGCCTAGATTCCTGATTTGCAGAAACAGTGAGACAATAATGTTGTATGGTACTCAATTTTGGGGTAATTTGTTATACTTTAATAGATAACTAAGGTTCACCATTTCTTCTCATTTCTTCTCAACCATTTCATTCTCAACAAATATGAAACTTAAGGATATGTTTTACATCTTCTTTTATTTAAAAAAAGTCAAGCAAATACAGTCTAGTGTCGCTTAATACAGCATAGCACTAACAGTGTCACTGTAAGCTCTCTATGGATGATTTAATAATGTCATATGAAATTCTTGCCTGTTATGAACTCTGAAGAAAATCCCAGAGATTTGATCATTAAGGTTTAATTAGAGTTGATGGAATTTATTATTATAATCATATCAACAACGTAATTATGCTGTATGTTTACTTTTAACTGAAGCACTAGTGTTTTTGTTCTGGACATTTGAAATAAATGGAAATTCATTTTGGTTTGGCAGTTTAGATTAGTTGGGTATGGTTTTATTATTGTCCTCTGATGGTTGGGTTTATAATTATAAAACAATTAGCCATTTGACATACCACTCTTCTGTTTCTGTTTATTCTGAAAGAACCAGAAAATCTCATTTCTTTCTTTCTTTTTTTTTTTGGTGAGGAAGATTGGCCCTATTAAGTGTAATGCCCAAATAATAGTTATTACCTGTATTGCTTCTGTGACCAAAGACAGGACACCTCTACTTGTGTAAAAGGTGGTGGGTCCCAAGAAAGTGTTGTTGGTACTGAGGTGAATGACTGGTGGGTGTGTGTGCTTCTGTCTGGTGTCCCCAGCCTCCAGCTGAACCTCTTCAGAGAATTCCTGGGCTACCAATCCACTGAGGAAAGGAGTGTTTTTTCCCTATGTTACTCTCACCTAAGGCAGAGGTTTTAGATCCATGGTTAAATTTAACTGAAATCTCAGCTCACGGTCTAATCAGAACTAAATATATGAATTATGTAGCCATATATTCCATAGGGTAAGTCAGCTGGATCTCCAAACAACAGGTATTTCAAGCAAATCACTTGCATATGTTATTGTGGTGGCTGGCCTGTAAGGTGGCCCCCGTGATACTTACCTCCTAGAATCCATGTTCTAGGCTGCTCCAAAATTCCTGACCCACAGAAACTGAGAAACGGTTTTTCTGGTTTTGAGACTCTAAGTTTTGGGATGATTTGTTATAAAACATTAAGTGCTTACCATGGTTATTTGTTCCTTCTCAATATGAAGATGCAGATATCTGCTATGAAAAGGTGCCCTTTGGTGTACCTAGCTTATAGTAGGTACTCAAAAATATTAATTGAATGAACTAATGAATACATAAATGAGAACAGTTAGAAATATAGCACTGGAATTTAGCTAAGATTTCATAAATGAATTAGCATTCTGATGACCAGAGAAATATTTTTATATGGTTAAAACATTTAGCCTTATGGCGTTGGTGGAGATGCACAGAATATGTTGAACAGTAAGACATGACTGTAATCTCCCACCATGTAGCAGAGGTGTTCATTTCCACAGCAATATGATGACAAGAAAATAAGAAATAAGGGCATTTAATCTGTGGCAGAAATGGCGTGATGGTTATTTTTACATGTCAACTTGGCTAGGCTATATATATGGTTATTTAATCAAATTCTAATCTGGGTGTTGCTGTGAAGGTATTTTATAAATGTGGTTGACATGTACAATCACTTGACTTTAAGTAATCTGGGTGGGCCTCCTCCAATTAATTAAAGGTCTTATGAGCAAAAACTGAGGTTTTCTGAAGAAGAATTTCTGTCTCAGGACTATAGTGTCAGTTTCTGCTTGAGTTTTCAGCCTACTGGCCTGTGGATTTCAGATTTACTGGCCCCTAAAATGGTGTGAGCCAATTCTTTAAAATAAATCTCAGTCTCTCTCTCTGCCCCTCGCACACATCCTATTATTCCTTTTTCTCTGGAGAATCCAGACTGATACCGATTGCTACTGCTCAGGGAGAATGGATGTGTGTGTGTGCTCCCTTAGGTCTTACAAAGTCACCTTAGTTTGATGCCAAGTGATCAGATTGGAGAATGGGCTGTGAGCAGCAGTGAGCTGTGTCATATTTAGTTCAAACCACTGAGGAGCCAGGATGCCTTCACCTTCTCTCCCTTCCCAGACTGGGAGGACCTTGGAAACTATATGCTCAAATAGTACACCTAAGCCATAAAAGAAGGCAGCCCAACTAGTATTGGACTGTGATGTGAATAAAATGATATCTTTGTTGTGTTAAGCAACTGAGATTTCAAATTTTATTTATTTCACCAGAGTTTATCCCATCTCGAATAATACACCGTCTAAATGGAAAAAAATCGGGTCATGGGTATGTTAATTAGAGGTCTTTGGTTGTAAGGGAATGAAAATCCATCTCAATCTATTTTTTAAAAAGAAAGGGAATTGAATGGCTTGTATAATTGAACAGTCCAAGAATAGACTTTCAAATTTAGTCACAACCAAATCCAGAGAATGAAAAACTCTCATCGGGATTTGGGTCTCACTCTTAGCTTAATTTACACTTTTATTCTTTTTTGTACCAACAAAGTCTAGGGATGATTCTGATTCACCTGGCTGGGTTACATCCTTGACGCTGAACCATTCACTGTGGCTGGGTCACAGACTAAATCATTGGCCTGCTTTCTTCATATGCCTGTTCTTAGAGATGGGGTAATTGGGGGACTGGTAAAATCGGCCCACTCATATCACAAGGACTGAAAATGGGTTAGGGGAGGTTCTCCAAAGGAAAATTGGGCTGCTGTTACCAGAAGTGGAAATGAAGTCAGGCAGGCAAAAACAGTAGATTTCTACTGCAGGGGAATAGTTTATGTGCCTTTTATATAGGGAAAAAGGAAACTGGATTGCTTATATAGAAACACAAATGTGTTTGCCGAACATGCTTTTTAAAACTTCAGTGTTGTGGTGAACGAGCAGGAAGCTGGATATTCGACTGACAATTGGGAGAACAGCTGTTGCAATGTGCTGATTCATTTTAATCAAAGATAAAAAAAAGAGAGAATTTGCCACATCAAGACCATGCATGTCAATAATACATCTATCAATGTACAGGAGATGTCACATCTGATTGAAAGCAATTGAAGTTATATTATATCTCTCAAGAAATAAAAGCCGAGGGCAGGTTATTCCATATTGAAATCACACCCACAATTATTCATTATTTGGATAATAATGACACATTTAGAACTTGTTCAGAGAGCAATTAACAAGTTGACTGTTCAGCCACATCCTAATCTATTTTATGTAATGTGAATAAAACTAGTCAAACAGAAAAATTGGTTAAGTGGAAAGCTCCTTGTGTCTCAGTTCTATTATGGTATTTATGTGAGTAAGTTGCTAAGAGGTTATAAAGCATCTATATAGGTGTGTGTGTATATATATGCATATATCTATCCATTATTGATCTAGTTTTATGATATATATACTTCCATAATTAATAAAAATAAATAAAAATAAATATGAGCACAATTATAAAACTTTTATATATGTAATAGCACACTGAATATTTGCTAAAGATTTTAAAATTTTTAAAGAAATGATTCATTTAAGAGATTTAGAGAATAGTTTAATCAGCAGCTTGGATTGGCTGAATGCCATAAAGAAGAAAAAATATTAAAATAACCTTTTTCCCCCTTCCTTTCCTTTTTTTAAAAGCAAAAATACTGACTACAAATATAGAAAGCAAGCGTCTATACTAAAAGACTAGAGGAATGGTGAAATTAGCTACATGTTAATTTCCTTCCAAGTTTCAGAGTTATGTTCCTAGATTTTAATGGCATGACAAAACTGGAGTTGGTAATATCAAGGTCTCATAGAAATTTGGAAATGAACAGAAATTCGGTAAATATTGCAATATATAACAAAATGTATACATAAAAATATAAAAATTACAAATAAAAGTATGAAAAGCACCTGCTTTCAAAACAAACCAAGTCAAGCTGTGAAAAACCTGTACCAGTAGATAATTCTTTTCCTGAATCATTTGCTTCAAGCAGCTTGCTGTGATGTTTTGATCTGTTGTGGCAGATTCTTTCCTAAGTTTTTGAATCAAGCTCACTGCACCTCTGCTCAAAGTATGTTGGTCTTGTACGTACCTACCATGTCCTGGGCACATTGCATGAATTTCCCAAAGAACTGAGAAGAATTCAGACCTGCCTGACTCCAAATGCCATCTTCAGTTTCTCAATCTGCTGCGATGCCTCACCTGTCACACATGTTACGGGGTGTCATGATTGTGCCACCCTGCTCTTGATGATACTCTGTTCACTCCTCCCTAACATGCATAGAGGCCCCGTGGATCATGTTCAGCCACCTGATCTCCAGTCCCCTACATAGTTCCAAAAACTACAGCATGAATCATGCTTCTTAATACTGAATCACCTTGGCTCCTTTAGTCTCACAGGAATCAGAAAACCTATGTTAGTATTTCAGCTCTCTCATACTCGCTACGTGATCTTGGATAAATGGCTGAAATTATTAGTGCCTCAATCCTTGTTCTTTAGTCCTCTCATTTTCCCATAAGATCCTCTGACCCCTTCTCCCAGCTTTGCAGAATTTCTAGTGATGCCAATGAACTCGAATTTATTTTGAATTATCTTGTATTATTCTGTTGTTTGTAATTCTCGTGTGTTAGATATGATTTTGCTCTGCAGTTCTCGGGGAACAATATACAACATTTCTTTTTACAACTTGAATGTGGATTTTAGCCCCCTACTTTTAGCCTATTCTTTTTTTTTTGGTAAGGGGGTGGTAGACTACTACTTCTCTT